ATGAGCCGTGAAAGTTAAGGCATTGATTTTTTTTCAAATGTAGATCTGCCTGATTTCTATTGACGGCAGCCCATATGCCTAAGGATGATGGATATGGACAATTATATTATATATGCAGCACAGTGACAGAAATGCCCTATGTTAAGCATTTAGAATTATCAAATAATTCTTCTTTAGCAATTCCAGAATTGGAAGGACTACACGCTGGTGTTACTAAACTCTATAAGACACAACAACTAAAAGCATCATAAATTTCATAATTCTAAACCTAACACACTATTTTATGACACAAATGATCCAAATAATTCAGTATTACATGTAAAAATTAAAGAATTATGTAACAAGAAGAATGAAATTAGTTTTTAAATTATAAATAATGAATATTTTTTTTATAATTTTTGGGAACGCCTATTTCCACCATGGAAATTTGCTATTTCCACCATGCATAAATTCGGTAGATTTACAGACAGTGCAATCATGTGATTGTTAAAGAAAAGAAAAATAAAATATCTCGATAACAACCTAACCAAACTCGACTAAATTTTTTTTGTTTGAATTCTATGAACCCATGGAACCTAAATAAAAAAAAATTCATCGAATTTGGTCAGATTGTTATTGAGATATCTTCGAGAAAAACTAAATGCCTATCAAAAATAGAAGCTGCGCCAATTTTTTAAACGTTTGAGCGAATATATCTCCACAACCACTTGACAAAATTTGAATTCTATGGCTTTATAGGATTCAAATAAAAAAATTTCCGTTGAGTTTTGACAGGTAGTTGTAAGATATCTTCGCTCAAACTTTTAAAAAATTGACGCAGCTTTTATTTTTGATAGGCGTTTTGATTTTTCGCTAACTTTGAGCGAAGACATCTCATAACAATCTGATCAAGTTCGTTAAACTTTTTTATTCGAATCATAGAATTCAAATAAAAAATTTTCATCGAATTTGGTTAGGTGGTTTTGGGGATATCTTCATTCAAACTTTAAAAATTGTCGCAACTTCTAGACATTCTCTAACTTTGAAGATATCTCCACAACCACAACAATCTGGCCAAGTTTAGTAAAAATTTTTTGATTTGAATTCATGTATCCATAGAATTTAAATAAGAAGTTTGTATCAAATTTGATCAGATGGTTGTGGAGATATCTTCCTTAAACTTTTAAAAAAATTGAGATGACTTCCATTTTGATAGGCGTTTTGATTTTTCTCTTCGAGAGAGGATATTTCATAACAGCCTAACCAAATTCCAAAATTTTTCACAGAATTCAAATAAATGTATTAACGCATATGAGTATCCTGCATCCCAATGTAGCATAATTTATTGGTGCGATAAATGGTTTATTGAACGATTTTATTAAAGTTGACTAATTTAAAGATAGAGCTTACATTGTTTAAAACTAAGAGTTAGCATGGTTTAATCTAATAAATATTCATTAAAACTACTTATCATACAGTACAATCTTTATTATTTACGTTAAGTATTGTAATAAGCTTATATAATAAGTTATTTGCATTAACTAGAACCAGAATTTTTCTGCAATTCGAGAATAGCCAAATTGTTTTAATAAATTTGGGTCTAAATGAATGTTGTGATTCGGTGCAAGATTTAACCCAAAATATCAAAAAAAATTTGGTCTTGGGATATTAGCAGCTATTCATTTCTAATTCCGCATTGTCAAATAATGTGATATCTTAAGAACATGTATGCTTTTTGATTTGAATTTAAATGAGTGCTTCAAATCTTAACAATCCTAACAATCGTTTGAGCCAAAATTATTAAAAACAGCATAGCTACACTTGAATTACTTACATAATGATAATGATAGTTGATCATTTTCTTTTGTAAATTTGATTCTTATTGTTTGCATTTTGTCAACACAAAACCTCCAGGTCTTGTCTAGCAACTATTGCATCGTAGGTGCTTGCAACTCTAGGTTTAAAGAACTTAAAATTAAAATGCTAAACACTAATAAATCGTAAGTATATTATGCAGTTATACTATTATGTAATCAAATGACTAAGGCATAAGTTAGTAAAAGTTTATTTAATCGTGACGGAAAATTGGTAATAAAGATAACATAAAATAGTGCTATAAAAGCATTAACTATATATTATAAAGCTTTCGCTTACCTATATTTGTAATATAACAATCTTAAATTTTTTAATCATTCATGAATTTAAGTTTACCTTACTACATTGTTTTTAAATAAAATCCATGTCCTTGTCTCCACCTCTAACAGGTTATTTTCCAAGCCGTGAGGCTCTAATTAAACATGCACAAACACATGCACTTAATCACGGATATGCTGTAAGCATAAAAAGATCAGAACAAAATAAGTTTGTTTATTTACAATGTGATAGAGGTGGAATTTACAGAAACAAATTAAACCTTACAGATAAGACTCGCCAAAGAGCTATAAGTTCGCAATTAGTAAACTGTCATTTTGAACTATATAGAAAAATGGAAAAAAATAAGCAATGGCATTTGATAATAAACAATGCTGAACATAACCATCTAGTATCAGAAGACATATCAGGTCATCCATCAAGTTGTCAATTAACTGAAGAAGAGCAACAACGTGTTCACCAAATATCTACCACAGGTATATTTCCTCAGGAGATACTTTCTACTCTTTGTCAGAGTAGCCTAAGCAGTAAAGCAATTGCCAAAACTATATACAATACTCATGACAAAATTCGGCGCACTAATCTTCAAGGCCGCACACCACTGCAAGCTCTTCTTGATGAATTAAAAGATAAAAATTTTCAGTACGATTATCATTATAATGAAGATGGACATTTAACTCATCTTTTTTTTGCACATCCTGTCTCAATTACACTCACCCAAACTTATAATTTTGTTCTTTTGATGGACTGCATCTATAAAACAAACAAATTTAGAATGCCATTACTTCATGTTGTTGGGATGACAAGCTTTGGCACTACATTTTTTTCTTGTTTTTCATTTTAAAATCAGAATATAAAGAAGATTATGTATGAGCGTTAACTCGCATTGCTAGTATTTTTAATAATAATTTAAAGCCTCAGGTTATTGTAACTGATCGAGAACTAGTATTAATACATGCTGTAAAAACTGCATTTCCCGATTCAAAAAATCTTTTATGCCTTTGGCATATTGAAAAAAACGTGCTAGCGAATTGTCAACGGCATTTTTTTTCATTTGAAGAATAGACCTTATTTTTAGAAAGTTGGACTAAACTTACAAGATCTGAAACAGAGACCAAATTTAATGAAAAATGAGAAGAATTATCAATGAAATATAATGATAAACAATCTATAATTACCTATTTGCAAAATACATAGTTGTTACTTAAGACACACTTTGTAAGATTTTGGACAAGTTGTCATTTGCATCTGGGTAATGTGACAACGTCACAAGTAGAAGGATCTCATTTAATGCTAAAAAAGTATCTTCAAGTATCAGTAGGAGATCTTCGTACTGTCTGTGAAAGAATCTCTTTAGCATTAGAAAATCAATATCAGGAAATTCAAGTTATGATTTCTCAAGAAAAAATACGAATTACTCATGCCCAAAACAGATCTTTTTATGCACAGGTTGTTACCAAAATATCCATATTTGCATTAAAAAAGGTGTATGAACAATTTTTAAAAGCTTCGAATGCAACCTTAGAAAATCCATTACCACCTTGCAGTGGCTTTTTTACATCATCAATGGGTCTTATTTGTTCCCACAAAATTCAAAAATATCTTGCTAACAACCAATGCTTAGAACTTACTGACTTTAACAAACATTGGTGGATCCAAGAACACCAACTGCCACAACAAACACTTACAGAAACTGATAGCCCCTTACATCAACTGTGGCAAAGCTATTCTCAACAATTTGAATCTTTGACAACTCAGCAACAAGGCATACTTCTTGACAATATGTCAAATCTCTTTCAAGAGTCCACAATAATTGTAAAAGATCCACAAATACAACAAACAAAGAGACGTCCAGTTGGAGCAAAAAATATTGTTCGTTCATCTATCAGAAGAGAACTATCCAGCTTTGAGTTGGTGGAATCTGAAAAATGCAGAAAATGTGGTTTATGCCGTAGACACAGTAGGACATGCCCTAGTGTAGAAAAAAGCACAATAGAAAGTTATTAGAATTTTTTAGATGAATACTATAGTTTCAATATAAATGTTTTAGAAATTATGTTAACTGAATACGTATAGCTTTAGTAAAATGCGATCTAAAACTTGCACGCAAAGATTCAAAATGTTTATATTATGTAAGCTAGCTGCGGAAGAAGCCACTAGCGCCTATTCATTTTTTTTTAAAAAAAAATAACATTGCTATTAACAATATATGTGAGATTGTGCTTGGAGAAATTTTTTTCTTTGACGTTGATCATGTATATACTAACTGTAACGTGTATATCTCTGATAGGCTGGATTTTATTTTCCAATCAAATTTTTTAATTTCAAGTAGCACAAATTTTTCATCTGATCTTATATGGTGGAAATAGGTGTTTCCTAATTTTTATTTATTTTTATATTTTTGAAAAAAATTTTTATTTTTTGATAATAAATAAATTATTGTTTATTTCAAGGTTTATAAATGTTAAATTTTACTGACTAGACAATTCCAGATAATTAAGTAAGTACATACAAAATGATATGTAACAAAAAAACAATCAAGGCATCATACCACGTGTGCCCTAGTGAAATGTCTACATAACACAAAAAGCAATAGATAGAGCTAAACCCCTTGATAAGTGGACAAGTAACTTATAAAAGGTCTCAAAGGAATCATGAATGAATTGTGTAAATATTATTACACTGTCTGAGACTTCTAATAAGGAAAGAAATAAAAGGATTAATTAAAAATGATCTGCACCTTGTAAAGCATAATCAGATTACCCAATAGTACTATACTCTAAGGGTAAATTTAACATAATATCTCTTAATCTGTAGATCATTTCCAGGCAAACTTTTTTGAAAAATTTTTGTTATTTGTACTGTTACCCAAACCTTGTATACTTGCTTATAAATCATTATTTATGTCATAGCTCATAATTGTGCAAGTTATGGGCACACGTAATAGCTTGCAAAATAAGTGTTCATTTAGGGAAGTGTAGTAAATCACATAATTAGAGTTTATATAGAACATACCCTCTAGTGATAAGGCTATTTACCAATCAAATACTACAGTATAATATATATAGAATGTGATAAATAGAAACCTTCCTCCCCTAAAAAATCACATAATTTTTTGCAC